CTCTTCTCTGCGGATCAGGTCACAGTCCCTCTCGCGATCCCACTTCACAGGGGGGAGTCAAAACACAAGGTCCAGGGCTGGTGCAGGAATGTGGAACAGGACCCGGCTCAGGGAAGGAGACGGCAGAGTGGCGAGGGTGGGGACGATTCCACCACCGCGCCCCCACCCGTCCTTACCAACCCCACAATGACGTAGCTGGCCACTCTGACATCGGAATTAAAATCAGAATCAAAATCATTTATTTATCACCCAGCATCTTTACATCCAAGGTGCTGATTCTGAGGTGTCATGCAAAACGATGAAGTGCAATCAAAAGAATCATCATAATAAATTATACGCAGAAATAAACGTACAATTTTGAAGTTATGGATGACTCACTGTGGTAACTCTTTATGTTAAATTATTACTTTTGAATTTTGAATGTATCATTATATTATATTTTTTACAAAAGTCTAGTAACAGATTAATGCAGCTCGTATGTGTTTCTTATATATACTTTTTAGTTGTTATGAGCATTTTTGATGACATGAAAAAATGTTCTTATTCGGCATGTCAGACTTCATAAAACGTTAAAAAACAGAAGCAAAACAAAACTCTTAGAAAGACTTGCAACACGGTGTAATGTGCACACTGCAATTTAGCAGCAGGTTGGTTAAATGGGCTGGGGGGGGGTTTAGTATCACCCTTCCCCCTTGTCATAGAACAAACATACTCCTCCACCCCCCCACCCCCAAGATAGAAAAGAGAGAGGAGCCCAGTTTGACTGAGGAGGTGTCACCCTTCATGATACCCCGTAACTTGACTCCCTACACAACAAACCCCGCACTCTCTGAAAAGCACCATATCTTCAAACCTCGGAGAGTGACTCTCAAACCCCTGCAGCAATCACAGGCTCTAGGTGGACGAACTGGGACATGCAGTAGAAGGTCACAGCTCCCAGTTTAATCAGCTGCCCCATTTCTTGTCTCAGTCCCATATTTCTTGAGATTGAAAGTGGCAACCCTGCTATGGGCTGAGCTCCACCCAAGGGTCAAATCCAAGAATCACCCCCCCCCCCCCAGGGATAAACATATCTCGTGAAACATTTTCTCTGTAAATTCAGTAAACTCTCGAGGTGGAGCTGAATCCCAGCATACTGGAACACGTGCAGTTCCCGAACTCCGCGAGTGTGCCCCCACTTCCTGTTGAGTTCTGTGGCAAGAAAGGAATCCACAACATATTACAAATGGATGTTTTTTAGTCTTTGGGTGAAGCTGAGTGCGTGTTGGTGGGGAGGGGGGCGTTCACAGTGTGTCATACCGCTTGTCAGGGAGATAACACGCTTGAGTCTAAACATGATCTGTCAGCAATTCAGTAAAGAGACTGTCACTTAAACACCCAGGCCATCTCACGTTTGGTAAACTGGCCACAATAAGACAATTGCATCAGGGACCATGGAGGAAACTCTAAGAGCCTTCACAAAAAACAACAACGCATTTTATATCTTGGCCAGGAACTTGGAAAAATATGAGCAGCAATGAGAAATATCCTTTTCTGGTGTGACAGGGGATATTGGGTCATGACTCTGGCCAGTTCTGTTTACATGCACAAGCTTATGCTGGGTGGTGGTGGCAGGGGGGGGCATAAAATTATGACCCCATACATTCTTTAAAAATGGAGCCCAGCTGCCACAGAATGGCAAGAAACATGCCAAATGGGAACAGACACTCCCTCTGCCCAGGAGACAGCATCCATAGCCCACTTCACCTCAGGGAAGCGGCGGAGCAGTGCATTGTGGGTAAACTCGAAGTTGCCAACTAACCCAACCGTAATTAAGCAGCAATCATCCAAGCAGTGAGTTTCTCGCCCCCCCCCCTAGTCTGTTTCCTTTGTCGGTCACACAAAATTAAGTACAATGTCTTCCCTAAGTTAATGAGACTCTTAATCACCAGAATGTGCCCCGCCGTGCACCGTGGGAGTAACCATAACTTAACAAGGGAGTCAGTGACCTGACAGCAGATACAGTCAGAGAACACCCCCCACAAACGTGCCTTACATCGCTCATTCCGGTCAGACTCCCCCTCTTCTGTTTTTGGCTCAGCAGCCGCCTTTCTAACGGACCCCATTGGCTGCCTTCTGGTCCAACTTGCCTGCGCCGTACTGGCTGCAGTGCATCGGCGAGGTTTCGCAACGGCCCGTAATTCAAACAGGGCCGCGCGTTGTTTACCGTGCTCCGCGTTCCCTCCCCTCTGAGCAATAAGCTGCTCACCCCAGTCGGAACCGATGGAATCCAGGCGAGGAGTTTACTGACGAAGACCCCCCATCTACACAGCTGAGAGTGGTTAGCGATTGGAACCTGCGACGTTTCATCTTTACAAAGTGAAGAACAACTGTGGCTAAGAAACAACGAAGCCCCCCCCCCTCCTCCCGTGATTCTGAAACATGCACTCACAAAAATGTACGGAAAGCAAAACAGTCATATGCTTGCATTGGCTCTGTCCTAGATGGTGGAAAGGGAGGTGGAAACGGCCAGTTAACTTTCTACAACTGGTCCCCAAATGAGCCTTCTGTGGAAGCAAGTAGTTAAAGGTGCAGGTGTAATTGATGTGGCTTTGCTACACCTCTGCACTGCTAGGGGCTACAATCCGACACTCATAAACCTTTATGTGGAATAACAAAAAAAAAGCACCGTTAGAAAACTCAAACACAAAACGTTTCATTGTTTCTACTCTTCCTATGACTGATAAAATGCAACCCTTTCCTGGCTGTGAGCAGCTTGCCCAAATCAGGATCCAGGAGGTTCTCCTGACATCCAGAACCTTGCCGGGGTAGAGTCGGTTGTGAGCATGCTCTCCATTACCCAGCACACACACTCAAAATCGGATTGGTCAGGTTGTGGTGATTTAAATTACGCTGACCATGTAGCGCATGGAAACACCCAAAAGAGTCGCAAAACTATCTTGTAAGGCTCCAAAAACATAGGACACACAGATCTTGGATTCTTGTTCTAATTCTAGGGCTTCCATGCCGATCCCTTGTTTTCCCTTCAAACTCTCTTGTGCCTGTGACTGCATCTGTGATATCGGTGGTTGTATTGGTTCCATGCAGAGCAGCATTAGGAGAATCATGGTAGTGTTTCGGGAAATACGTGGAGCTGCTACGGTGACAAAGCGGGATTTACCTGAGGCAGGTGCCCTTTTCACCCCCGGCCTTCATGCAGGTGTACTCCACTGTCACGATTTTGTTCTCTGGACAGTCCTCTGTTTCTCTGAGGGCAAAAGCAGAAAGGAGAAGTGGAGGAAAATGAGCAAAATGATTACAGAGGGTGAAAAAGACAGGCAGTGTGCATGAGGTAAACTCACTGGTATCATCAAGGGAACCACAATTGAGTGACGCTACGACATGACATGTCCCCCCCCCCAAACACAGCAAATGAACCCGCCTGTGACTGAACACGTGCCTCACAGGAGGGCCACTCAACAACTTGCTGGCAGTCAGACTGCATTCACCGGGAAGCATGGAATCATGGGAAAATAGAGCAGCTGGACCTCAGCTGATGTGACTCTCCTTTGCTATGATCCAGAAGGATACTTTACCTTCACTGTAATCTCTCAAAGTTTAAAGCTCTTCCGCAGCCTTCAGCACTCTGGACTAAGTTATGCATTTCGGTCTGTTTTATTTTAAGGCACACAATATCAGTTTCATACAGAACATTTGAAACAGATTTTATGTTCTGACAATGCAATACAATTGCTGGACAATATCAACTGCCTGGTGGATTTGCCAATTAAATGGCTAACTTTGTCTTCAGCAGTATCCTATTACAACTGTAATGATCACTCCGTGTCGAGTTTGGTCCGTTTTTCATCTCCCTCTCACTCACCTCTTCTCTCACTAGAAAGTACAACAATGCACTCCTGTGTCTCACTGCTAAACCTGTTGCCCAGTCTGTCCTGAAGTAATTCCTGTCTAATCCATGCACAGTCGCACAGAAATGTCTTGTTTATCAAGTCCGATTTAACTGTGGGTGAATCTTTGCAGAGTCTGATATAGTCTGCACAGTAATATGAAATGTTTTCAGGTGTCAAACGAAATTTTTTCACATTGCAACACACCAGTAGGGACCTTCAAATACTTCTGATTCAAAAAATAGGCATTAAATTCATAAGCCGGGGTGTCTCTTCTAGAGAGATAAGCACCACACAGTGCTCTGCGCTCATCCAGCACATAAGTGGCTTTCCTTCTTCAAACCCATGCAATTTAAAACACTTTCTTATCCCCTTCCTTTCTACCCTAGTAGAAAAAAACATATGCACCAAATTAAGATGAACTCACCCGGCGTGGTTGAGATCAGCCCGTGTTTTCAAGGAGCTGGCTTCCGAATCCGAGAGGAAAACACAATAAAAAACTAGCAGCACCAGTGCAGCATAAAAACGACGATCCATCATCTTCGCAAGGTCTTCAATCTGGGATGTCATAAATCCGTTAAGTCCTTGAATTAGAGAAGAATCCTTTCAGAAAAAGAGATAGTATTTGTCATGCATATTTATGCACAATATATATTTTTTATTACAGCTTGTTCACACATGTGATACTAGTCTAGCATTATTGGTCTGAACTCCACTGTGCAAACGCCAAACACGCGGAGACTTCGGGAAGACTGCGCATCGACCTGAACGGGTTTATAACCCAGAGTCGCAATAAGCGGGAGTCCGCTCTCCAGTCCCCGGCGGACTGGCATCCTTACTCCTAGAAAGTCACTTAAAATTGACTGTATAAAATACCTCCTCTACGTCCTCGCGCGGAGGAATCACCCCATTAACTGAGATCCGCTCCCCCGCTCCACTGTTTGCGACCCTTTCACTGATGCATCAGTCCTGCTCTTATGACACAGGATGGGGGAAAGTGTGTGCGTGTGTGTGTGTGTGTGTGGGGGGGGGGGGGTACAACTTGGGCAATTTTTTTACAAGAAACCGTTTATCCAAAAATCGCAATTCGCACGAAAGCAAGCGGTGACTCAAACACAAACAAAGAAAATGAAATCAGAATAGAAAGTGCCCTTCCCTCACCGATTACATTTACGTTGAATATTTTACTTTTTCAGCCAGTGCACGATGCTTTGACGATCCCTTAAAGGCACACACGACAAATGAATGTAGATAACATTAACGTGCTCGCTAACTAAAACAATTGCAAGTTAGAATTATCTAAGTTACAGTACTAGATAAAACAAATAAGTATAGCCTAGCTCTTGAATTAAATAGTAATAATCAATTGTAGATTAGAATTACTGAGTCGCAAACCAAATATATGTTTTTCTCCGAGTAAAGTTAAAGTTGTAAAAAATGCATAGGTTGCTGGATGGAAATACATGCCGATTTTACGTTTTGCATATTTATAAAATATTTATATTGTACAACAAGAGAATTAAGAAAAAAAACAGCGGTGAATAATATAGACCTACTATCCTATCTCTGTAGTTCAAATCATACCATCTATTCTATTCTATTCTATTCTATTCTATTCTATATATGAGATATATAGTTATATATATATTCTATATATAGTTGATAATTTGATAATGATGTATACATAACTTAAAATACATGAATTACTTCTGAGGCTGAGATGCCAAAACCACTGAAGGCAATGAAGAGTGAAATCTAAGAGCCATGTGTGGAACAGTGTGTATCAACCTGTACCATTCAGTGTGCGGAGTAAGTGTCCACCCTATAGCACTGATGGGCTTAGGTCTATGCAGGACGCTATCTCTGCATCCTTTATAAAACACGGGGGGGGAGAGAGAGATGTACACTTACACATTTTGTGGGGGAGGGATGTACGTTTAAACATTTTGCGGGGGGGGGGGGGGGGGGGGGCAGTGGGACAGCCTCTTATTCACACAAGCCAGACCACAGTACCTAACACAAGACCCCTGACAGCTGTGGTCAGGAAAGGCATGCAGTTAACATTAAACAGCTGAGCGGAGTCGCGGGGCGGCCTCACCAAGCGTTTCGTCTTGTGTAGGTCACAGAGGAGGAGAGTTCTCTGTGACAGTGTGACCAGACCAATCACAGAGCTGCTATCTGTGGGTAAGGTGAGCTGTGTCATACTCAGGGCCAGTGTGGGATTCACTGGCCAGTGTGGGATTCACTGGCCAGTGAGTCAACTGGGCCGGGACTCGGTGGCCTTGCTGTAATTTTATAATCTGACTGACAAAACTATATGTACAGTGTGTGTGTGTATATATATATATACACACACTCTCTCTCTCCCTCTCTCTCACACACACACACAGAATCATAAAAGAGCCCCAGAGAGTAACAGCCAGAGGAACTGCAGTCTCTGGTTAATTGTCCTCATCATTTATTACTAACTCCCCTTTCCCATGCATGTTTTTTTTCCCACAGAAGCATGTTCTTTGGTTTTCTTTGGTTGCCTTTTTATTTCCCAGTCATATTTTGCTTATTCCCAGGACAAATGTTTCCTACTGGGCTGGTGCTTCTTGGTCTAGCGAATCCACTCACCTTCACATTCTTGAGTTCAGTTCGCTGGCATACGGAGGGCGAAAAGCGCAATGGCCAGTTTGGCAGCAGTGCATGTAAACCAGGAGACACTAGGTTGTGGGAGGAAGCTGGGGGACCTGGAGGAAGCCCACATGAACATCTGGAGAACAATGCAAGCTCCACACATAGATCAGAAATCAAAGTCACAGCCACAGTGATATGAGGCCACTATGCCAAACTGATATAAATCTGAATGTAATGCTAAAAAGGACAAAACACCCAAGTTCATAACTATTTTCAAAACACTTTATAGAGTAATATTCAATTATGAGGTTATTTATTTAAGCATGGGTTTCATAAAGAAAACAAAACGGATGCCTGTAATTGGATCCATTTTAGCTTCTCCATAAAGGAGACCACACAAGGATTTATAATGCCTCAAAGATGAAAAAGCAGTATGTGCTTATAATATGGTCCTGCACTCCATATAGCCTTATGTAGATATATCCTCTGGGGGCACTGAGTCGCTGTTCATCAAACAGTTTTTCGCTCTTATGGAAAACCCTAATTAAGGGACCACTTCCCGACTAATGGAGTGGCAGATTTGATTAACGAGCGCTAACTCTCAGCCACGCATGAAAATCAAGTCGCTATTTTAGAGGGACAGACCGCTGACATAGCCAGAAACTAATTTTGCGGTTGGGGGTGCAATGGGGGATGGTGGCAGGGTGGTGTGAGAGTAATGTGTAAGGTGGGGGGGTTTTGGTTTGATCCCAAGACCCCTCCATCCCCAAGGTATGCCATGAATAATGTTTTGTTTGGCCCACCATTACTTTTTACTCTCCTGTGATCTTTAAAGCCTCTTTATGTCTCTCCTGATAGTTCGGAGAAGCAGGTTGAATAAATATTAGAAAACAACCTGAAAGTACGACAGCAAAATGGGCAGCTAGACTGAGAAGATGCTGCATTTTCTGAGGTCTCTCCAGGTATCTGCTATACCATACAATATGCTGGAGACAGCTTCTCACTTTGGGAGGACGAATTGTCTGGATATGGCTATGGTTTGCCAGAGCATCCATACTGGGTACTGAGGAGACGAGACTGGCTTCATAGGCCTGCTGTGGTATTGCGTCTGTACACAGATTTTTTTGAGAGCATAGCTTTGTGTGTGGCTGCACACATCAGTAGACCTATATGCATTACTATGCATGTGCCCATAGGTCCAAGCATGTTGGTCAAGGTATGATTCAACAGGTATGTGTCTCTGTTGCAGGTGTCTGGAAATATCAGGCTAGATGTTGTGAGACCCATTCTATTAGGCTGAAGGTGAAGAAGTAGCATCCATCCATCCATCTTCAAACTGTTTATGCAGGACAGGGTCACAGGGAGGTGGAGAAGATACTGAAAACTGGAAACCATCATGTTCCACTGAGATGTCAGGGAGAATAAGTGTCTGTCAGACTGATATGTGTTTGGTTGCATTACTAACTGCTTTGAGAAACTTAACCTGAGTATTCGGAAGAGAGGAAATGACAGGAGAAGTTCTAAAATCTGTCCGTTTTGGACTCCATCAACAAGTCCACTGTTTGTTTGGTGCCGGTGTTTCATGGCAACCTTGGAACCCCTTCATGAGTGCAGATCTGATGTGGAACACCTGACTTCCTCACCCAACCACTTTTCTCAGCGAGACATTTTATGCTGGGAATGCTCTGCACCCCCCTTAGTCATCGCACCACAGACATCCTGTTTAATAGACCACACTTTAATAGACCACACTTTTGGGATGTTTGGTCCACTTGGTTACGTCTTAAAATCAACTCTCGACAAAAGGGATATGTTTTCAGTGGGATGTTACCCTCGATAAGAGAATGAAACAGTAGCTTCGGTGTGGGGTCTGCTTTTCAAACAAACCTCCTTGTGACGGCTCACAGAACATTCCACCGCTCTGTTTTTCATTAATCTTTACGCTAAACCTGGACTTAATCTGCTGTAAATGAAGTAAATGTTTGAAGTTCAGGACCTTGGACGAGCTTAAATGTTTAGCGGTTTACAGGACTTGTAAAGAAAGAGGGCTTATTAAACTTAAATGGCATCTTACAGAAACTGAAACCGGAAAAATGGTCATCTTTACTGCTAAAACCCTTTTTTTTTTCCTATTTAATAAACCCCAGCAGGTACCGATTCTTCAAACATGAGTGCAACAGATTTTCATAGTTGATTTACAAGGCGTGTGTCTCGTCATGCCGTTGTTGAGTCCCAACTTGCAGCTGGGCCTTGAAGCCTGTGCGAATCAGTGATTTATTGATGTTTTTATCAGCAAACGCATTCTGTTCAATCGTGGGTCGTGGCACGGTGCCAGGCGCTGTACAGTACTCAGGTTAAATCCAATAGGCAAGGGAAGGAGACAGAATGCACTCTGAAAAGGGACGGGGGGGTGGGGGCGGTGAAGCAGAGAGACAGTTTTAAACATTTCTCCAGGTCCTGGCTCTCTCCCTGTCTAAGACACCATCGAGCTCTCTGTGGTAATCTTTATTTATGAAGCTTGGAAGCCTGCATATGTCGGATCCATGCAACCTTGCGGTCAGTCTGATCGCTTGCACCTTTCCTGTCTGACGTCTGCTGCTCCGTAGGCCGTCCGACGGAATAAGAAATTCACTCTAACCGCCCCCTCCAGCCAAACATCCCTGTGCAGGGCCTCTGACCCCTTTATGAATCTTGTTCTGGTTCCTCTGATGTCAGAATCACTTACAATGGAAAACTCCTCTAGCTCCCAATGGTACAGGTGGTCACCAGCAGCTGACGGAGGTTGGGGTGGAGGAGGTGATAGTGGTGGTAGTGAGGGTGGTGGGGGGGGGGGGGGGGGGGGTCATGGGATCTGTGGCAGCCAGTTAAATAGTTCCGATATGATACAGATGGAACCAACTCAACTCTGACTCCTTAGGCAAAGACAAGAGCTGAAGAATGTTCAGTGGAGATGTTTGCTATAAAAATAACTTCTAAAGGAAGTGACGCTGTACGAAACCATAGCAGCAAACAAACAAAGGATTTGAAACTATGATTTTGCGAGTGAAAAAAGAGTGAGTGAAATTACAGAACAGCTATGGAACTTTGGACCGCATTTCACATTATAAGGTTCTGAGTTAAATTTCAGTTTGAGTTCTAAATTGTTAATGAATGTATCAATGAAAATACAAAAAAAAGACCTTTCATACAAGATTGTTTGTGCCAGTCTAACGACAGATGAAGTTCGTTTTGGAGCTTCTACCTTCAGTTCAGATCAGAAAAGAAAAGAATAATTCAAGTATATTAAAGGTACAAATATATAAAGGTTATTAAACAAAGCTGTTAATCAAAGTTGGGATCAGGGGGAACAATTTGGATTC